TGTTTTGACATCTAGCCTGGACCTGTGAGATCATTCTGATTGCTTTGAGTGTGTGTCTGTGTGTGTGTTTGAATCTTTGCTGCCTTAAAAAAACAAAATGTTTTATCTGTCATTTTTTAAGAATAATTATTTAGCTCAGTTTACCTTATGAACTTTACTTCCCTTTTAGCTTTTAATTTAAAGTAAGGACTAGGCGGAGGCAACACAAGGAACATGACGATAGGCTAGGTCTCAGGCTGGAAAATTGGGTGCCAGCATCTCCTCTGGTCTGCCCCGCTCTTCACAGCCTCTTTCCTTCCTTACAGACGCTTCATCTGGTCCCTGGGAGAAGATTGGACCCTAAATTCAGTTGGTCAAAGGAGGCATAGTCTCCATGTTTCAAAACCAAACCAAAAACAAACTATGGGCCCTGGCCTAGTAGCTCAGTCAGTTAGACCATTGTCCCAATACACCAAGGTTGTAGGTTTAATCCGTGGTCAGGGCACATACAAGAATCAACCAATAAATGCATACATAAGTGGAACAACAAATCATCCTTTCTCTCTCTCTCAAATCAATAAATTAAAAAAAACAAACAAACTACCCATCCAGATGCTTCACGGGCTCTGATTACTCTGCAAGGCTGGAGTGACTAGCCTGAAGATAGTGCAGTGCTGGCAGACCGCTGGGAGAAAAGCCTTGCCTTATTCCCAGAAGGCAGGAGCCGTACAGGAGTTTCGTGAGCCCAAGCCCTTCCCCGCTGGCGTGTGTCAATAAGCACCAGCCCCTGCCTGGGTCTGACACCAGGAGGGCAAAGGCAGAGGGTGGGGACTGCAGTCAAGGAGGGCTGGCAAGGCCCGGGCAGGTCTGACGCTGGAGATTTGTCAAATATTTTGACTCTCTCTTTCAGGTTGTTTTGTGTGTGTGTTTTTTTTAACCCAAGCTGTGAAATCCTTTTTATTCTACTCAGTTTATAAGGTAGAATTAAGTGGTCCATCTAACACCAAGGCAGTGAAATCACAGCCTCTTCTTTACTGAGAGCAGGTCTTCACGACTCCCTCCCTCCATCACGAGAACCAAAGGAGGCACCGGCCATGGCGGGAATGGTTGCCAGCTGGGTTCCCAAGAAGGGCACAGTTGTCTCTTCGTTAGACTTGGCCTTTTTGGAATGTCTCCCATTAACTATAGCCCTGCATATAAGTGAAGAGCCCTGAAAGCTCCAGGAAAGTGCCCTGCTTTCTTCACCTTCCTTGAGAAAATATATTCCGTACTAGGGGCTAGTCTTCCCTGCATTCACCAAGAACTTATGAAGTCAGCCCCGGCTGGTGTGGCTCAGTGGGCTGAGTGCCCACCTGTGAACCGAAGGGTCTCCGGTGTGGTTCCCAGTCAGGGCACAGGCCTGGCTTGTGGGCCAGGTCTACAGCTGGTGGCCTGTGCGAGGCAACCACACATTGATGTTTCTCTCCCTCTCTTCCCCTCTCTCTAGAAATAAAATCTTTAAAAATAAAAAAAATAAAATAAAAAAGAAGCACTGAGCACCATTGCCAGCAATCTGGAGATCCTGCAGAGCAGAGTAATGAGTATTAGTGTGACCTCAGGGCCAAGCATTAACTCCCCCTGTCTAGTACCTTCCGACATGTTAAATTTCCAGCCAGTCTCCTATCCCACCTAAGCTGTACTGGGGAGGGGGGAAGCAGATGTGGACTCAGATAGATATAGGAGTTGAGAATGACAAGCAAGGCTGAAGGAGCACCCCGTATTGGAGACAGGGCGTTCTCATGGCAGAAGGAAGCAGTATTTGAATGTTGTTTGAACAAGATGTACATAATGTTTGCTCAGGAGCTGTTGGCTAAAGAAAGCCACAGACTTTGCCAGTGTTCTTTTCAGCCATTCTCCCCAGGCTGCCGCTTTCGAGGTAGCGAGGTAGCGTGGCGTGGGCAGCGGATGGATGCCTAACTGAGATCTCTGTCCCTCGGGGGAGATTTAGCAACGCTCAGAATGCTGGGGAAGCCCCTAACAATGACGCCACTCTTGCTGTCCCAAAGGGACTCCGTAGAGTGGCTTCACCTTTAACTAGGTGCTTCTCAGTGTCCACCACCTGGCCAGCCATTCTTTTTTGAATGCCCAGGGTACGGTTAGCTCAGGCTGTCCTAACACAATACCACAGACTGGGGGTCTTATACAGCAGGAATTTATTTTCTCATAGTTCTGGAGGCTAGGAATCCAAGATCAAGGTGCAGGCAGAGTTAGTTTTTGGTAAGGACTCTCTTCCTGGCTTTCAAACAGCTGCCTTCCCGACGCATGCTTACATGGCCTCCCCTCTGGTCTCTCTTCCTCTTATAAGGACACTAGTCCTGGTGGATTAGAATGCACCCTTATGACCTCATTTAATCTCAGATACCTCCGGGAGGCCCCCATATCCAAATACATTGCAGATTAGAGCTTCAGCCTTTGGATTTTGGAGGATACAATTCAGTCCATAACATCCAGTATCCCTGGGATAAGGCAGCATTTACAATACATAATTCAACAAGCCTGCAAGGAAGTTAACAGAATCATCGTTTCCAGTTCACAGATAAGGAGGATGAAGTAACTTCTTAATAAGCGCAGGACCCTGGACTGGAACTGTTTCTTTGATTCCAAATCACATGTTCTTTAAACTGTAACACAGAATGTTGGCCTTATAAACACTGGAAATGAAATACTGCACACTTATTGAATTGGTAAGGATTATGTAATGTATGGAAAATTATTTACAAAATAATGTTAAGTACAAAAATAGATCATAAAAATATATCATCTCTGGGTACAGTGATGTAAAAACTTTGGATAAAAAACTGGATAAAACTTGCAAAGAAAAAATGAAGTACAGGGTAGGGGAAAAGCAGGTTTACAGTTGTTCATATGGAAAATAATATAATTAATAAATAATAATGCAAAAATAAACTGTTTTGTGTACTCATAGCTGCAAGGCTACTTTTGCCCCTTCCCCCCTTGTACTTTGTCTTCAGGGTGGCAGGGTTTTCTTTTTTTTTATTTAGGTTGACTTAAGAAATAGACTTTTAAATGACAGAATTTTAGATCTAGCAAGCAAGACAAGTTAGAAGTTGGTGCTAACAGGAGAACTATGTGTCCGTTTGTCACTAGCTGTTTGGGGACCCAGAGACTTAGGCCAGGTACCAAGCACCATAGCATTTGACAGGCCCCTTCTCTCTGAAACCTCCGTCAGCCCCCGGCTTCCCTGGCCGGACAACTGCTCTGGCTCAGCCGATGAGCAAGGCAGGTCCCTGGGACCCGAGAAGGCTGAAGCCAAGTGTGGTTTGGGGGATCAACTACTGTAGGGGCAGGAACTGAAGTTGGGCCGCAGTGAGAAAGAAAAGAAAATATCAAATATACGCAAAGACTGTTCCCCTGAAAACTGAGTCCAAGCAGTACAGGATTTGGGCTTGCCGGGGTTAATGCAAAAAAGGCAAGTGTAAATGAACATATGTGTGTCGTAGGAGGTCTAGAGGACATTCCAAGAGCTTTCTGAAGACCCTCGGCCCTGGTAGGCTGGCCTCTGGGGGCCGGTCCGGTCGTGGTTGTGCTCTGAGCTCCCTAGATGCAAGCGCTCGGGTTGCAGGCATGTTTAACGTTGCTGTAGTGAGTGTATGATTTTACTACTGGAGAGTCCTCCCCTTTCTTCTGAGAACAGTCATCTGTCATGAGTCATGTCGATTTTATGACCAGGTCCTGATAAAAAGTGTGCTGTGTGCACATCCTCTTGGTCAACATGGGTATTGAAGGCATCACACCCCCTGAGCTCACCTATCACAGTGGACATTTTTCTTCCAGGCCCAGAAGTGGTTCCTAGTAAGAGCTCTTTATTTTAGGAGTTAACAGATTTAGATTGTAAAAACATATTGAAACCAACTAAACGAGCCCAGACATTTTATCAGCCCACTCTGGAGAAATAGGAGTAATTTCCAAATCCCATATGAGAAAATCCACATATTTTACAAAGAAAAATAAGTAATCGATTCTTAGCTAAAGGAAGCTCCCTATAAAAACACTCCACCAGAGGACTCCTTTCATAGTATGCCAGCTATTTTACATGTGATTCAATTTAACTAAAGATCCTTTTTTATATGTTTCACAACCATGCACACCTCTGTGTAGGCAGCGTGCGTACACACGGCCCCACTGTCTGGGATGCAATGGTCCAGCCTAGCGTTTGTTCTTTGACAACCAAAACGTCCTTTATGGTGCCATTGTCTAAAATGTTAAGAGTGTACCCCATGTACCCCTTAACAAAGGACTTTGTTTTTTTCATATATATTACTGACCATGGATTTATCTTGAATGTGTGTGTGCTTTCATTCATGTCATTTTGGGAATAATGAGTTGCATGTTTTCCACTTGTAGTTAGATAGTATTCTTTTTTTTCCTAGGCTACAAACTCAAATGTGTAGCGCACCGAGTCAGTGCAGTGGTTTGGTGTGAGCACTGAAAACACAAGAGTGGGCCCAGTGTGGCCGAGAGGTTCCAATTTTTCCCTAGAAACCCCTAATCTGAATTTTTAAAACATTGTCAGTTCAGTCAAAATTATAAAAAGTCACTACAGAATAAATAGTCCCCAGTCTCTAACAATCTCATTTTATTTCTGATACAGTATCTCTATTTGTGGACACTGGATACTGCAGGTATCCACTTTGTTTCCACCTTGAACTTTACATTTTACATCTTTTACATTTCAAGTGTACTTCCTAGTTGCCGGGATTTGATATAGGAGTCCATAGTCCCCTGATTACCCACCTCCTAACCTTCACAATTTACCTTATCGTGTTATTCCTTCAGCTCTCATCTTAACACACTAAAGGCTATTTTTAATTGCTCTGTAACTATATAGAAATGACTTCGTGTGCTGCTTTATTTACCTTGACTGAGGCATAGTCATAGAGTAAAACTATACAATCACTCTTTGACTTGGTTCAGTGCCACTTCCATGGTCACAGGCCGCTCTCCTTCCCTTCTCTTTGCAGCCATCCTTCCACCAGGCGGACAGTGTGCGGGGGACCCGCCATCACGGGCTGGTGGAGAGGCCCTCGAGGACCCGCTTCCACCCCCTCCACCGACGGCCTGCAGACAAGCCGGGGCGACAAATATCCTTTCTCATCTGAGGAGAGTATATATTTTGAAATGTTTGGAAGGTTTTCAGAATTTATCTTCTCTGCAGTTCCTCTTTGGCTTTAAAATCCTCATTTTATCTGATGAATGGAGGCAATAAAAATAAGTGGGTTGGAAATTGGAAACATTTCTGCAGCTTTGAAAAGATCATTGTAGGTGTTTACAAAAACATCAGTAAAGTTCAATGTAATGAAGTAACTGAACATAAACAAATGTAATTCAGCCCCATTGCAAGGTTTTCTCAGCATTTTCTTGAGAAATCAGTAGTCAGAGTTAAAGCCGAGTTTGAATCACTTTGAGAGATTTCGTTATCTAGCTAAAATGGATAAACAGATAAAGCGATTTATGTTTGTTTCTGTTGACCTGACCTGCTGTTAGAATTTACAGAAGAAATTTCATATGATTTTCTATTTATGGAGTTTCAAACTCAGTGAATGACAACTAAAATATAAAGCTGGTATTTAGGAAAATTCTTATACAGTGATGCACACTCCTGGGCTGTCAAGTGGGAATAAAGAGAAGGGATGTGAAGTCACCTGACAGTTTTATTTGGCCCATCCTTCTCAGGGGCTGACGCAGGCTGTCCTCCTGGATGAGCAGCCTTGTGCTGAGGGCTCGGGGGCACAGAACTGAGCTGGATTTTGGGGTGAGGACATAGAATAATCGTGCTGGGGGGCCCTGCTTTCTCCACTCCTCACACACGGAGGTGGAGGACGGCACAGAGGCGGGGAGAGTCTCGCTGCAGAGCTGAATTCCTGGCAGTGATGGCAGAATTGGCTTCAGGAGCCTGAAAACCAGGAAGTGGGGGGAGGACACCCATGTTTACTGAGCACCTCCCCATGCCAGGCACTGTGCTGGGCAGTTCACATGTCATTTAGTCCTCAAGACTTACTGAGTGGTTTATTTTTTTAACCCCATTTTCCAGTGAGGAAACTGAGTGCCAGAGTTACTTGCCCAAGATTCCACTGCTGAGCTGGGGGCGCCCAGACTCGGCGCAGGGTAGGCTGGCTGCCCGGCGGGGGCCCTTCCCCTCACCGTCCACACACATCCGCCGGGTGTGCCCAGGACCACACGCTCGGAAGGCCCATGGGGGAGTTGTCGGGGCTCAGAGGAGGCCGCTGCTTTTCTTGCCTTCGGGCTCCCTGCAGTTTTTCATCTACTTGGCAAAGGATGTTCCCTGGGGCAGTTATTTCTGCCCCCTGTTCCGCCCCTAGGGACGTAGCACATCGGTTGAGGGAGATACGCCGACTCCTCACCGTTTACCGTGTGGCTGTTACTAGAGAAAGGGAGATGACAACTGATGTAGAGAATTCCTTTCTGGGATGTGTGGTGACTTTCACACGGAACGCAAAGGGAAAGGAGCGTTGAGGCAGGGCCTCAGCTAATTCACACGTTTGGGGGTGGGCAGGGGGGCTGCCTCAAACCATTGCCCAGATCTCTTGGAATATTCAAGCAAAAGCCTGTGAGTGTTTCTTTGCTTGACTTAACAATGTCTTTTTCTGTTTCTCAGTTCTGTGTAGGCATTCTCTCTAAATACTGTATATTTGTGTGTGTGTGTGTGTGTGTGTATGTGTAGTTATCTCAGATCCTTTTTGCAGCAAGTAGAGTCTAAATATACACACATGCTCACAGCTGTTATAACTGAAGGAATAACTTGGAGGAGGAGGGGACTAAAGAAAAGCCACAGAAAGGAATGTTCACTCACATAACGACTTAAATATCTGCTGGTGTCAGGTGCTGAGGTAGACGCTGCTGATATTAAGGCAAACGTAGCGTGGTCCCTGCCCTCAGGATGCTTCTAGCTCAGCGCAGCAGGCAGCGAGGTGAGGACGCGGTCCAGCACAGTGGCTGCAGAGGAGGCAGCCCGGGGGCCGTGCCAGCTTACAGGGCAGCCTGAGCCGGCCGGCCTGGGCGTGGGGGGCGGCACCCTAGAGGGCAATCTGAGGCTTGAAGGGTAAGTAAGAGGATAATGTGTTCGTTTATCCAACAGATATTTACAGAGCTGCTTCTCTGTACAAGGCACTGTTCTAAGCACTGGGGGCTCAGTGGTGAATGAGACAGACATGCCCCGCTTTCTTAAGGTTACAGTCCTGTGGGAAATGACAAACAGCAAACAGGTAAAAAAAAATGATTAAGACAATAATCTTAGACTGCTGTAAGTGATGAGAGAGGAAGGTCACTGGGAAGGGAATAACTTGTGCCGAGTCGCAGAAGGGAAGGCCACGCTGTGGTTCAGGGACGTTGTCCCTTTTCAGGTGGTGAATCACAGGCTCTGACCCGGCCCTGTGTGCGGGTCAGCCTCTGAGAGCAGAGCAGAGCAGGTGGGCTCCGGAGGGGAGGAGAAGCAGGGACCCAGGTAACATACAGATGAATGGAGGTTGCTCAGCAGACAGTAAAAGTCTGATTCACAGATCATGAGATGTTTCTAGATTCTCCTCTTAAGCACCTAACTGGGGTCCCGGGACTGGACATCTCATTCAGAAAAAGTTCTGTCGGATAGGCCTGCCCGTTAATGAACAGCAAGTCTCTTCTGAGGAATCAAGGGACTATGAGGTCCAGCAACATATGGGAGTGGAATGATCTTATGTTGGAGATATTAATACTTTCAGGAGAACCTAGAGGAAGGGGACTGTGATTTCATCTTTTCTATATGGCCTGCATTCATTTGATTTTGCCTTTTCCGCTTGTCTGTTGCCTCCTTGATGAAGTTTTATCATTTGAAACTATTAACACTGGTTTGAATCTTTGTTAGAACAAAAAGAAAAGTTGCATTCAGATTTCTCTTGTTACAGCTGTTGCTTGGGTGTTACTTTAGAATGGGCACACTGGCCTGGACAAGGGTTCAGCCCTATGATATAGTGATCTCAGATGAAACAGACATTGTTTAACAAATGTTCCAGCTTCCTCCCAGAGTGGGCAGCCACAACAAGCAGGGCTGTGGCAGGGGGAGATTCCTTCCGCGGTGGGCGGCTGTCACCACAGAGGAGGCTGGTGCAGCGAGCTCTGCTGTTGGTGTGGGCGGGCACCGCGAGCACAGAGCCGCGCGCTGCCCAGTGGGGCGCTGGCCGGGGCCACTCTGAAGGCAGAGGAGAGGCGGGGACCGGGCCTGGGGGCCCAGGGTAGGAGCCCTTCTGCCTTTTTGCAGCCACTTATGTCCTCACCAGCCCTGTCACTCCTCACGGCAGCAAACATGCATCCCAAACGCCGTCTTGTTGACTTTCTGCACCATTGACATAAATGTACAGCAAATGTAATAGTATCCCAGACCTGTGGGTAATACATTGAAAAGGAAGGGGAAACACTGGCGAATCATAGAAAATTACTTCCTCTAAAAGAGGTGTGTTTTTAGAAAGAGTAAAACAAACATTTAGAGCATTTCTGATTTCTATTCCCAGGAAGGTCTGCGAGTAAGCTGCATCTAGGAAACTGGTGCGCACAGCCAGGAAGAGATGCCTTGAGACCTGCCAGTCAGGAAGGGCTGTCTTCTTTGGATTAGGCCTTGCTTTGACTCTTCATACAATGAGGTGAAGATTTCAGGACATTGGTTTATAGGACACTGCTTCTTTGTGTTACATTTAAGAAACACTGTGCCCTCCTTCTTGGGGTCTGTCTGTGAATATCAGGGCTTTTAGAAGCCCTGCAGTTAAGAAACTTACCTTTAACCCAGGGTTTCCAAAATTTATTGGCTCAAAAAACTCAATTTTTACCTCATACCCATTAGAGATTTTCATCTCAAAGTACAAGGAAATGCTGGATTTTAGAATTCTAAGGGGAAAATAATTCAGACTCCAAAATTCCACGTGCCGCCTGTCTTTCACTGGTGCACTAGGGGAAACAGGAAGACGTCCTTGTGGACACAGAGACTCAAAAAGATGCTACTCATCTACCTCCCTTAACATTTGCCTTTCACGTGTGTCCTGCACGACAGAGTTGGAGGTAAAAGGCCAAGAGAGTGTAGAGTGAGGGTGAAGACATGGTTGAGAAATGAGGAAGGACCCAAGATTGTGACCAGTTTTATATGTTAAATCTGACTCTGGAACGCATCTTGGTGGGTGGGTTCAATGAAGCCAACTCCAAGTTCACTTATCCCACCAGCCACGTGAAAGGTCACAGGCCTGCCTTACTGGCCCTGTTCCTGGTAGATCAGATCTCCAGAGGGTTGGGGAGAAGGTGGCAGCCCCAGGCCACCTCCAGAGGGCAGTTCCTGCGCCCAGCCCCAGGTGCACACACCACATGGGAACAGGAAGCCAAAAGAAGAACCCCGCTCTGCTCACCAGCCTGGGGGCGGGCAGCACTCAAAAGACAGGGTGGAACTTGTTTGGAACTTCTGTGGCTCAGTGTCCCCACCCACGGGTGAACGGGCCAACAGATGTCTTCTCTTTTCACCAGAAGAGCTGCTCTCTTTCTTTGGGGAGGAGCAAGAACTTTCCCTCTAACGCGCCCTGAGTACAGAAGGAGTAGGAGCCCCTTGTCAGCTGACTGAGGCAGGGATTTCCCTCCTCAGGCCTGCAGGGACTTCAGGAGACTCTAGGTTCCCAACGGGAGCACCAGGTGAGTGGTGCTCTCCATTGCACACGAGGGGCCGTGTGACATTACCATCAGCAAGGCTACAGGGCTGACTGTACCTCCGCGCGGAAGAACTGGCGTTGGACCGTGATGTTTCTGCCGCACCACTGCACGCTGATTTTATGTTTGCATTACCAGTGCCGGACAACTGCTTCACAGCTTCAGGGGTGGCAGACACTGAGAGAAGCGTTTCCCTCCTACTTGATGAAACTAAGCTTTTCTGGATAGAGCCATCAAACTCTAAAAAAAAGAGAGAGGCAGCTACCACAGGTTGAGAGACCCAGTGGCTGCTGCCAAATGGCCAGCGCGCTGCATGTCCTGCCTCTCAGAGGCCTCCTCGTTTCTTTACTGCTGTTTCCTCTTCAGTCTCCTCCTGTGGTCTCTTCTAATCTGCACTTCATATAATTCAGTCTAATAGTTAATGTTGAAGAAAGGTCTCTCATTTGAAAAAATATTCAGATAAATAAGATAACTAGACATCACAAAACTAATACAAAGTGAAACTTGTAACTGTAAAGCTCCTGGCAAGGAAATATTTCACACTAAATTGTTAAGAGTTCATTAGTTTCGTACCCACATTTTACTTACGCCAGATTCTGTGTCCGCCTGGGATGCCCAGCCCAGCCTGTTTGTCGGCCCGTCTCCCTCCAGGCTCTGGTTTCCTCCTGAGTACAAGCATGATGGCTTCTCGCATTGAGAATCATTGTGTGTTTTTAGCGGGAGAGAAGTATAATCGAAAACGTTGTAGAGAGCTGTTCTTTAGGTGCAAGGAACTAAAGTAACCAGAATGCCTCCACTGCCCTCCGCGTGGTCTGCGGGACACGCTTGTTTCTCTGTGCGTCTGCAACAGCACAGGCGGCGTGAAATGGAGTTCCCGCCACATAAGGAGGTTTAAATTTCTCCACCGTCACAGGCAGCTCTTTTGGTTTTAAGTAACAGGAACCCTCCTTAATTTGAAAAGAGGAAATTTATTGGCTCATGTCACCAAAAGCTAGGTCCGAGGGTTCATACGACAGCACAGACACTCTGTATCTGTGAAGGGCCACCTTTGTGCTGTTATGCGCAGACAGGCTTTCGCCACCTCTGCAGCAGGAGCTGCTTTTGCATCCCGTCAGAGACACTCTTTGGTCCTGTCAGCGTCGCAGTCCACCCCTGAGCCAGTCGCTGTTTCCAGGGGAGGAAGGTGCCTGGTGGAAATGCTGGGCCTGGGTCCCTCCCCTGGGACTGGGACATGGGACAAAGAGTGAGAGCCTCCCTGGGTCTGGGGTGGGGGCAGAGGGCATTCTGACAAACAAAAACGCATGCGAGGCAGGCGTGAAAAATAAGAAACACCCTGTGTGAATCATTGAATCATGCAGAGACGGCACTGGATAGAAGACAGGGGAACGGACTCTCCAGAGGAAGTTGATATGAGAAAGCCTGGAGGAAAAGCTAGTGGGTGTAGAGACGAAGATAAGAGCCCCAAACTCAGTTGTTGAACTCCCCATAATTCCAGTGTCTTAATTCTGTTTCATCTTTTCATTAAGTTTATTTTTCCTTATTAAAATTTTTACTTTGACGGTAGTTCTTTCGGAGCCAATTACTCCTCACAGCCCCTGGATGAGAGCTGGCCAAGGTAAGCAAACCCTATTTTAAAGATATGATGGACATGTGTTATTTTTGGATGCTTTCACTTTATTTTACCTACCTTGAATGCTGTTTTAGTAATTGCTAATATAGAGCATAGACTCTCATTTGCTCTTAGAAAACTTGTCTTTTCATGTGTAATCATAGGCCTATATGAAAGTGTAAAATGAAAAGTTATTTAAACAAAGCTAGGTCTTCACTTTTAAAACCAAATAGAAATACATGTGGAATACATTTTACCACTATAATACTCTGACTTGTTATTCTGATATCCGAGACATGGAAAAGTAAACGCCTGTCTTCAGGGTGTTTAAAAAGGAAGCTTTGGAAAGGAACATAAATAAGCTTTGGGAAGCTACCAAAGAGGTAATTTACACAGTAGATTTGATTAAGACTTTCTCTGAATATTTTGGTCTACAAAGGGTATACACCTTCCCCCAAATAGGTTTTTTTTTTCTTTTTTGCATAGAGGGTAACAATATAAAATTAACCAAAAAGATTGCTACGTCCACCGTGTGTGTGGTACCATTCAGACTTGGGAGGCATCTGAAGTGTACACACTGGAAGCTTTTAGCTCTCTGGTCGAGGTGTGCCCTCTGTCCACTTCCCGGGCACGTGCTAACCAAGCACTGACTGTGGATGGTGTAGGCAGGACCCGGCAAAGGTCCGTGTGAAGGTGGGCAACAGCCGGCCCTGCCTCAGGCGGGTTTTCGACTACACTCAGGAATCTTGGGACCCAAGGTTGTAGGGTAAATACAGTATTTTAAATCATAAAAAGATATTTCCAAACTGATAATTTAACATTTATATTTGAGAAAAATTGTACACGTCCTAGAGCACTAGGATTGGATGGGTGTTTTCCTAAACTGGGTAACAGTGGCGGTTCTATTCCTTTTCCTGGCCACTTGTGAGGGAGCGCAAAGCCTCCGCACCCAGGGCTGCCCCGGCATTCCCCGCGCGCACTCTGGGTGTGTGACGAGGGGGCCATTTTACACATCTGGACTAAGGCGTTCTATCCCCCAGAGAGCCTCTATCGCAGATTTGAACTATTTCAAAAGGGACTCACAAGTGCTTTTTTGTCCACTGCTTTTTTAAACTCTTTATATGCCCAGCTAGCCAATCCTTTGCTCATGGGTTTGTGGTAGTTTTTAGCACTGAAATCAGCAATCGTATGAACTGGAGAGAGCATTCAGTCTGACCTCGTTTTGACAATGAAGAGCAAATGGGCGATTTGAAGGGACCTCCCTCAGGTTGTGCGGCCAGGTGAGGCGTTCTCAGGCCCAGGTCTGAGCCTCTGCTTCACTGCTTGTGGATTGAATTACTTTTCTTTTTATGTTATTCTATTTTTAAAGGCATCATCCTCCTTGGAAAGAAGAAAAGCATCCTGGCTTCAGGCTAACATCTGCACTTAACAGGTACATGTGTTGTTTCCTAATAGAAATAGTTTTTCAGGAGGACCAGTCCACTTGATTGTCTGATGTTCTTTATCATCTAGTTGCCAGAGTCTGTTCCTATCCGTTGTGTTTATATGAAGTTTTAAAAAAAGAAAAGAAAAGAAAAAGCAACCCCAAGCCGCCACCACTTACTGAATATCCTCGGAGGACAGAACAGCACAGTGTAGGAACATAGAGTCTGGGGTGGGACTATAGGCTTGCCTCTGACAGTGTGGCCTGAACAAGTTATTTAACTGCCCTGTGCCTCAGTTTCCTCATTTGGAAAAGGATAATAGTGCCTATATCAAGGGATAGTTGTGAAGATTAGATAATACACAGGAATGGTAAGTAGTCAATAAGTCTTAGCTCTTGTCACGATCGCTTTGGGCCAGGCTCCAGTGGTGAGTGTCTCTGCTGGACATTTTTTCAATCCTGATATCATCCTATAAGAATGAGGGTTTTTTTTCCTATTCTAAAGGGTTAAGGACTCATCCAAGGCCATTTAGCTAATATGTGATGAAACTAGGATTAAAAAAAACAACCTTTATAGTGCAAAATTTTAAACATACACAAAAGGAAAAAGTCAGAAGCAGCCTCTGTGCTCATCTTTCAGCGCTGGTCCTTAGTACGCTGCCCGTCTTGTTTCTTCTTGAACCCCCACCCACATCCCACACTGGCTGGACACAGCCTTCCACCTGTAACTACATCTAATGGTATAAGACTGATAAGAACCTTTAAAAAAAAACCCCACAATTCCATTATTACACTTAATAAATTCCCAGTTGTCTCTCTACCTCCGATGTTCTCTACTGAGTCTCTTTGATTCTTAAAGAGCTGGGTCTGGAGGCAGAGCTCTGTGCTCCCAGGGCGCACACGGGCTCCAAACCCCGTGGCCTGTCAGAAGGCAGCCCTGCCCGTGCAGCCAGGCCATGTGGGGTCGTCACCTGCAACTGACCACAGAGTAGCATCTCAGGCTGATGTAAAGGCCACAAGTTCTTTTAATGGCACACTTTGACCTTCCCTGAGACAATAACCATCTCTTGGGATCGAGGCTGTATATAAATTGGAGCTGTCTAAGGGGACTTCAGAAATAGGCTATAGATCAGTGATTCCCAAGCTTTTTGTCTTTGGACTCCTTTACCGCCTGAAACCATTGAGACGCTAGAGTGTCTGTTTATTTGGGTATATCTATTGATATTTATCTGATAGTAGAAATTAAGTTGAGAGAGATTTAAATGTTACTTATTAATGAATTTTAAAATAGTGAAACAAAAATAAATCCAGCATATGTTAACATAAATATTTTTTAAGAAACAGTTCAGTTTTCCAAAACAAAACATTTATTGAGAAGAATCGTGTTGAGATCCCTTTAACAAACCTCCTGACGACAGCTGGATTCTGTGCTTATGATCCCGTCTATGGTGGGGTCCCATGGCTATAGCTCCCGCAGGCCGCCACTGCACTCATCGGAGGACGTGGGAAAGGGCCAAGAGCTTTTCAGTATTAATTGAAAGTCGCCTTAACTTGCACTCTTCCTGGAAAGGCTGAGAGCCGCTGCTGTAGGCGATCCTCACTCAAGAGGAAGGACAGGCAGGTCCTAGAGGAGGCCCCACGTCCGAGGCCCTGTTGAAATAGATCATTACGCCATGCGTCAGCTTCAAGGCATAAAGCTATACGAGTACCGATTCAAGTCTTTTGGGTGTGGGTGATCCTCAGGGGCTGTTACTGATGTGAAGGACTTCAGGTAGGTCCAAAACCCTCATTTTATGGATTATCGTAAACCATTATCCTTACCTCTTCTCCCATCGGTAATGTTAAGCAAAGAATATTGCATTTTCACTAAGGAAAAATGGATTTTCAGCCAGATTTCTCTCCTTTCCCCCTTAGGACCAATTCTGATTCTGCTCTTCACACAAGTGCTCTCAGCACCAAGCCTCAGGACCCCTATGGAGGAGGCGGCCAGTCAGCCTGGCCAGCCCCATACACAGGTAAGACACAGCGGCCGTGCTTTCTGCCTGTGTTTTCTGTTAGGGTCTCTTACCTGGTGTGTGCACTTCCCCCGCCTAGTAGTCTTCAGAGAAGAAGCTGGCAGGGGAAAGTTGTGTGTGCTCATGGGAAATGAGGATGGAGCTCATGAGGTCACATACCTTGCTTCTGCCTCGCCCATGGCAGATTCCCCCTCTGGGGCATCTCCCGGCCCGGCAGTTGCCGTTCTTCCCCACCATACTCATTACATTGATGTGGACTCGTCGTAACCTCATAACAGGTCTCCTTATTTCCAGTCCTGTGTAGGTCTAACCCAGTTTTGTGTGGGTTCTCTGATGGTCCTCTCTTCATCTAGGATCTGAACAAACTGAGAGTAAAACCGAAAGTGACCGAGAGAGCCAAATACCATCTTTATTAATGACAAGTGCGCATGGCCTCTCTTTGTGGGTCTGTGCCTGTTAGGGCTGAACCCCAGCATGAGGCCAGCTGCCTGCAGCCCTGGCCTGGGCAGCCGCCACGGGAGGGCCGAGGGCAGACGGGAGGGCAGGGCTGAGCAGAGCAGACACGCCTGGAGAAGTAGCGGGGCTGGACCGGGGCTGGGCATGGCCTGCTTGGTTGTGCCCCATTTCACTGGGTAGGGCATTGTTCCACCTCCCTTGGGCCAGAGTGAGTAAAGGGGAGGAGAGAGCCAGGAAGCGACCAGGAGTAGGAAAAGCATCTTCATGCCATCTGCTTCCAGAGGGAGCTCGGATCTGATCACATTAGTCCCCTGCTTACAGTCCTCAGTGCTACCACCCCCGACCCCCAGGAGAGAGCCCACACCTCTCCATCTGTGATGACAGGAGCTCCAGGCCCTGGCCTGGCCCCGCCCCTCCCTCCTCTCCTCACTCCCCAGGTCAGCCGTGGGGACCAGGTCAGGTTCTACTACCGTTTCCTCCTGTTCCCATCTCTCCCCCTTTTAACTCCTTCCTGGCTTCCTGGCCAACACCTCAGCTTTGTCACCATCCTCAACCTTCCTGTCTTTGCCAGCCCAGAACTGCCCACATGCTTCTCACACCACAAAGCTCCTACATGCACCCGTGTCATGTCTCGGCACCTATGTCACTTGTGACTGCCTTTCTCGTGGTTGTGCTTCACTGATGGGCTCAGGGTAGATTTCTTACCATCAGCATCTTCCTGGTCTTGTCCCCGGGGAGCCCTCCGTGGCGGGGCAGTGTGGAGACGCTACACGCTGGCCTCGAGCCTGCACCTGAAATGAGGCTTGCTCTGTAAGACACAGTCCAAGCCTGCCTTTCTGGGCTTTATAATCTAGTAGGAACAATGGTTTTGAAGTATCCCTTCCATACACCAGTCAGTCCACAAACAGGAAGGACTATGTGTTTGATCATGAAACAGGTGAATAAATCTTCAGTCCAGGTAACACCAGCTTCTCTGGTTTCTTTACTTTTTAGACAACTTAAAGCCTAAATAATCTGTTCCTTCGGAGGCAAAAGTGCCTGGTCTTATTTTCTTGCATAGAGTAGGGATAGGACTTAATAACGATTGTTGCTATATTTGTCCCCTTGGTGCAATTAAGAGATGACCACATTTGTCTAGGCAGTTGTTTGCTTGCAAAGGGTGAGGCCATCTAGCTGTGTGTCCCCACATGGGGAAATGAGAGTAAATCTGGCAGTTACGTTGGAATTGGGTGTGGGTTAGAGACCTGGCTCCCTGGGCAGGTGGAGTAGTTTAGCTCATACTGGGTTGAGATGGGGAGACACAAAGCAAGTCCAGGAGAAGCAGAGCCTGTGATTGGTGGGGGCCTGTGACCCAGTAAGATCTTAGTCTCCCTGCAGAGGGAGCCAACCGGGCAGATAGGTTTTTACCCTGGAGCTCTGAATAAAGGGCTGCATTTCTGCCTCTGCCCCTCCTTCTGGGCGGAGTTTACTCTAACAAGGGCCAAAGGCCTAGAGAGAACAAGGAAATCGTAGGAAATTTAAGTAAGGAGCTTCTAAGGTTTGCATACAAAGAGAAAATAAAGAAAGTGATTAATTGAGTTAAGTATTTATGCTAAGAGTGATGTAACCTTTGGAGGGAAGAAGTGAGAAATGTCAGAAGGTGTAAGAGAGGGTGAATAAGAAAGGCAAGAAGGTAAAAATGTTGATCCCGATAGAGAGTAAAAGCAGAGAGAGAAAGACATCCTAGAGCAGAATTCCTGGGTCAACTTGAGAATCGTGGTGGGCGCTTCTTGTCACCTCAGCAGCTGAACGTTTGACAGCCGTGGAAGGCGGGCTGCCCTCCAGCATGAACCACGCGGCGGCTTCTGCACAGTGGCAAGTCTCGCAGGACTCAGAAACACATCCAAATATGGGTGTGTTTACATGGGAAGCCAGTGTGTCTAAAATATTATTCGAGTCTCCAAGGATGGGAATTATTTCTGGAGAATTATATTTGCTGGTGGGAGCTATTTTAAATAGTTTCATGCATTTTCCCCTTGTAATTCATTGAAGTTTTTCGTTTTCTTTTCCTTTTAGATTTTAAAAATATCAACTAGCTTTGCAAAAAGGTATTTCTTATTATAGGACCAACCAAATAAAGTAAAGATTAAACAAATGATGGGAAAATATAATTGGAGCCCAGAATGGGGCTTTGTAGCAGAAGCGGCACTAACTCCCCATCCCTGGGAACCTTTCCTGAGTGTGATGATGTAGCGTTGATGAATGTCCCCACTGGCTTATGTTGTTGTTGTTGTGAATGGGTGATAAAGATGCATCTGCTCAAAGCCTGACTACATGAGTAGTGCACTTGGATACACTCACGAGCAGGGGTTTGTGTCCCAAGAAAATAGGGCCATTATGCTGATACATGAGTAGCAATTTTCATAATGGTTATTGAGTCACATGACAATTAGGCATAAGTAATAAGCCGTTGATATAAATGGCAGAAACAAACTTTTATACAACCAAACGAGATTTTTATAATTTCTCTCTTCTTGTTTAATTATCCAGAATCCATAAAAAGAAATGTCGATCCTTTCCCTGGCAGCCCATGTAGCTTAATTATCATTTCACACACATACTGAGATGGTTAAGGGCTCTCTGTGACACTTTCCCTGCCCCACAGCCTAGGACTGTCCCTTAAACCTCCTTGGCTCCTGGCCAGCCTGTGACAAAGGGCCTGGGGTGGTTCGCGTCCTTTCAGAAAGGAGCCTGAGAGCCGCAGGCTGAAGATTGCGGGATGCTTGTCTCCTCTGTACCCTGGGCTCTGGAAGCTGAGCACGGCCGACTTTGGGGGCCAGAGCCCCGAGCTGCACCTCTGGGGCAGACAGAGGCCCGAATGTCAGTGACCTTGCAACAGGCAACACATTTTGAACTGAGTAGTTAAGGAAAAGTTTTTAAATGCAGGTAGCCCTGGAATAAGTGAACCTGTCCATGACACCGGGGCGGGGGGGACAGGTACACGCATCCCAGGCCATACAGAGGGGCAAAAAGTGTCACCTAGATGGCAGGAGGGCCCAGAATGAGGAGGCTGACGCCCCGGAGGCTTCTTAAAGGACCCAGTTTGGTTAGATGATCCGCCTCTTGCCACCCCTCTAGTCAGGGAGGCGAGACTGTGCGAGGCATGGGATCTGTCAGGCCTGGGTGCGGGGAGAGGGAGCATGGACTTGGATGCACTGAGGCAGGAGGCCCCCTCTGCGGCTCTGAGGCCATGAGGTTCCTTGGACATGGGTGCGGTCTCGGTCGCTGCCATCCTGACCCCTGTGGGACAGGTACAAGTGAGTGTGCTCTTCCCGGAGAGCCCACCGCAACTTGCTCGTTTTTATTTGGAACCCTTTGTTTATAGTTGTGTCCTATGATTAAAAATCCTGGCTTGCATCTTTGGGTCATATGTTAGCTTGCTGCTGGCATATCAGGTATTGCCAGCACCATCTCCCTGGTCACCAAAATTCAAACCTGGGTGCTGGCTTCTCCCCTACACTCTGTCACTTGGCCACATCTAGCATTTAGTGTAGGAACTTCATATATGTTGTATAATGATTGATAGATATTTTAAGTCTTTCTAGACTAGTCAGGTTAACTTACAGATTAAGCTTACCCAGAAACATATCTAAACTTCAAGTAAGCCTACATTTAAAGTGTTAGAACTTAAAATTTTCTCCTGATTTTATACTGAAAACTCATTTGGTATATTTGATGCCTCCAAGGAGAATAATTACCGTACATTCCGGGCACGAACGAGTCTTTGGGTTTAGCTTAGAGCAATCGGATGCACTGCACTTGTCATTAGCAACCTATTTTATGGATTAAAAATACTTTATGCAGCCAGAATTTATTCAAAGTCAAAATGTTAAATTTTTGTGAAAAGCTATCACCATATACTATTTAAGTTGACAGAGACTATAGATAAATTATTTTTTAAAAATAATTTGACTCTGTATAACAGCATATAGCATGGAACTTCCAGCCTGTTCCTCTGGGCCCTCACACTAAGTGGGAAGCAGCGAGGCACCTTCCCTTCCCCAGGATAAAGCATTTGGAAGAGGTTCCGATCCATACTTCTTGACTTTGTAAGCTGATGAGAGGTTCTCAGACTTTGTAAATTGTTTTTCTTTCAGGACAGAGGCAGTAAAACAATTTAAGAATGAGATCATTTTAAAGGAGGAGAAAGGTAGATGGGAACCAACTTTAGATTTAAATTGGCCATATCCATCTTAATTTTAGCATAAATGCTAATGTACCTTAGATGGACATCAATCAGTGTACCAGAGTTTGTTGGAATTTTCAAAATTCTATTTCACGTCGGAAAGAGTGACTAATTCGTGAATAAATAAAATGAAGGCACAACATAAAAGTGTTTGTTTTTCCCTTCCCACTAGGTTTCTCTGATGGTGAGCATGACGGACGTGGGGAAGGTAGGGATGGGTCTGCTGCTGTGCCCCTGAGCCCATTAACACTCATGTTTCAGAACTTTCCAGAATACTGACAACTGCCCATTGGTTTACTTCTCTGGGATGCTCTATAACATTAGGGCTTCCCAGGACCACAGCCACGAGAAAGGAAATGGATGGTTAGGTTACAGAGGCCCCTCGTCGCCTGAGTCCCCACAGTCCCAGAGTCCAGGATCGTGCAGGGAAGCAAAAGTTGTCATCACATGAAAATATTAACAAATTACTCACTTAAACTATGAGTTATTCCAGTATCCCTCCCTCCTCAGCTGCCTGTCTCTGCTCATTTAGCAAGTTTTTCAGAGTCAGTGATTGACAGATGTAAATAAGCAGTGGGAAGAAAATATAAATTGATTACAAAATGAAATCGCAGATGTTGCAGAAGATACTGAGTTTTAAACCGATTGACATGATGTTGGAGATCCACTGAAATGACACTCAAAGCCAGTAACAGACGGGAGCCTGCCACCCTTCGTTCGTTCACTCAGTGCCCTAAATCCTCATAATCTGACATTGGATTTTTACAATCTGAGAGTGAAGGACTCAGTTAGGTTTGTATATCACAAAGGGAAGCACCTTGCACCAGGACACAAGTAAGTCTCTGTCCTCAGCCTAAACATCCACTAGGACAGAAATAAGTAACTGGCTTAAGCTTCTTTGCATTCTCCCAGTGAGTCCTTTGAGGAATTCCCAACCAGTCTTGGATAGAAAAAGAGACTAAAAACAATGAACCTCTCTAAGGAAGCAATCCTCTTCAAGGCCTTGGCGTCTGCCCCAACCATATTCCTGTGACCAAGCTCTTAGGAGAAGCAGCCTTGAGTCACGAAGCTACCGTACTCAGCCCTTGAAACTTTTCCTCTCATCCATCAGTGCCTTAAAGAGCGATTGTTTGTTCTTGAGAGGCTCATCGTCTTGCTTTATTCAGGCTCTCAAACCTATCGCTCCTGCCCTCCAGTTTGAGAGTCGCCTGTAGAGCCAGTGTGTCCCTGGCACTGTTCTTAGCTCTCCCTAGCAAGCGAAGGGAAGAAAACCAAACAAGGATGTTGGCACCATAAGTTCTTCAGAGTGGTTGGACTGTCGCAGTTCAGAGAGGGCCTGGGAGCATTGGTGAAGCCTGGCGGGCACAGTGGGAGGGCAGCTGCCAGCACGGCGTGAGGGGCGAGCTGTGCGGCCGCGGCCGCAGCTCCCTGCTGTCGGGGAATCGGGGCCCCCTCGCCCTGAGCCCGTTCCAGCCGCCCGCCCACGCAGCTGTGTCCTCAGTGTTACTACCTATAAGTTAAACTTATTTTAGAGCTTTTCTTCCCACTTTTCAAACCTTTTTCTCAGAATTTCTTCTAAAATTGTGGTCTGTGTTTTAAGTGACTTCTTTCTGGGGTCCATTCCCTTCCGGTGCCTGTGTGGGGCTCCAGCATTCAGTCATGACGGCTGAGGCGGAGTTTCTGTGGTCACGGAACCCTAGCTGCGGGTGTGGTTCTGAGCCAGTGTCTCTAACGGTGAACCCCCTTCCTGGCATCAGGTCCCTTAACTCCTAAGGGCTACCCTTTGTCTTCTGTTCTCTCTCTGAGAACAGCACTACATATTGGTGAAGTAAATCGCTTTTTTAAACAAAGGCAATTGGTTTGGCCAAAAGCAGGATGGCTGCCATCTAACGCAATGATTGTGCTTTCTCCCCCATCCCCCTCCAGCGGTATCTTTCCCAGGCCCGGGCCAGGGCCCGATGAAAGAAGAGAATCTGTTAAACGTTCCCAAGCCACTGCCGAAACAACTGTGGGAGACCAAGGAGGTGGGTGAGCAGCGCGTAGCCATGTGTGTTGTCACCGAATATTTGCAGTTCAGGGGTCATTGTAAAACCCCGCAGAAGAGAAAATGAGGAATTGGGGGGAAAGTAAGAGAGGATTTGTCTGGGGAGAGCTAGGAAGAATACACTAGGGAATGGTGCTTTAAATATAAATTGCCACATTTAGTTGATGAGGTAGCGCAGTGGTCGCTTGGCTTTCTAATTTGCATATGAACTGACTCACTCAGTAAAACCTGTTAGTCCCCCATATCTTTCGTATTACCAAAAGCTCTGAGACCTTGTTACGAGTCAGGCAGACACTCCTGTTTTGCAGCCAACACCATCTACCAGTCCCCGGCTTCTGTCCAGCATTGCTGGTTCCGCAGACATCCCTTTTTAAACCAAGAGCATTTGACCCGAGTCCTCAGGGAGTGAGTAAACAAGGCATCTGTTTCATGATTTCTACGAGCCTTTGAGCCTTTGTACCTGAGCTTGTGCTGGTGACCCCACCGCGCTCCCACCGGGCTGAGGCAGGTCCCAGGGTCCTTGACCGGCCCCTCACCCTGCAGGGAAGGCCGGGTGGCCTCTGAAAGAAAACAGTTGGTCGTCCCAGCCCTAAGTGATGACATTGCTCACGTTGCCTCTACCTAACCGCCCCACCTGCCTAGACTCCTTCGTCTGGTTCCACTTCCTTGTGCCGCGTCCACTGGGGTCCTCTTCAGCATTTGAGTGGGCTTGCAAGGTCTTCTGTAAAAGCAAGTGTACTTGATGTGTCATCATTTGGGGGGAGAAGGAGATATGATTAAAGTTCACGTCCTTAAACATGGGATAAACAGCCCCCTTGGTCTTTCTGGCTGTGGAGACACAGTCGTCTTGGAGGCTTTTCTCAGAGGGCAGTGCTGTCTTCTTCAGTAGAGGGCGCAGCGGCACCCACTTTCCTCTGTGGCCCAGGGCCCCTGGCTCCGGGGAGAGGCCCCCCTGGCCCTTCACACTGAGGGGTTTGCAGCCCTCCCTGAGCCGCTTCTGGGAGAAGACTTGAGTCAGTGGGTTCATCCGTGTTTTCCAGCATCCCATGTGTGTGTTGAGCGCCCTTTGCCAGCCACTCTAGATCCAGGGGTCCTGCAGTGAACAAGCAAACAACAAGCCCTGCTCCCCCGCCCCAGCTTATTTCCTAGTTGACGTATTTCTTTTCTTCTGATAATAATTGCTTCTTTCTTCACTCTCTTTTATTTTTTGTATTCTCCTTTTCCTTTCAGGCCAATTGGAAAAGGAATGTTTATTTAAATGTGAAACATTGGCCTTTTTGGAGGAAATAATATTCATCTAGAAGATAAATTATTAAAGCATCAAATTAAGAAAATTTATTGATGTTATGCCTCCCTTATGCCTGGAAAAGTCTAGTCAAAACATACAGGGCTGCTATGTGAGGATACTACTTACTGGCTCTCGCTTGCACTGACGGGAGCCCCAAGATACTTACAAAGACGATTTTAAAAACTTGAATTTAGTTTTACAGAGAGTAACCCAGCTTTGTGACTCTCCCCAGACTCAGTCCCTGTCGGGGCGCCCTCGATCCTGTGATGTTGGAGGCGGCAAGTAAGTAATGTTCTTTATGTACATGGCTCAGGGACTGTCCCGAAGGTTTTCCCAAAAGGAAAGTCATACTACTTTGTCACAGAACCCTGAGAAACCTCACTTGTTCTCTATAAATTGCAAGTCAACTTTATAAAAAAAGTCAACTGAATTTTTATCAAACAACAGCTCTCTTTTGCTACTCATGTTTCATTTTTTTAAAGTAATTATACTACATAACTGCAATAACAAATAAAACTGCCATAAATATGTTTGAGAATAACACAGCTGACTCTTGGTAAGCATACAACTTGAAGCAGAAGCCTGCAGGCGTGGAGAGGAGCCCAGCAGCCTCCCGCTGTGGGCACCTAGCACCTTGGTGACATAGGAGTTAATTGAATTTCTGCGAAGGTACCTAATGTCACAGAACCATGCACGTAAAAGGGGTAAGTTGTATGTGCTATACGTTTTGCCACTATTTTAAAAATTAATGGAAGCTAAATAGGAAAATTTACAAGAGAAAAAGAGTTTCTATGAAACCATTAATGAATTTACATGTTTAGCAGTATAGAATTTCACTCCCTAAAAGAATTGAGACAGCTTACAAAAATGTGCATGGTACAAAAAGATCGACGATGAAGTTCAATGAGGAACTAGAACTGGGGAAGAACAGGGGGATGGAAGATGCCGTGAAGCCCACACAGTGACAGGTGCAAAGAGGGACTGACCAGTGGGGTCCGTTAGATGGTTCAGATAGGCAGTTGCCAGGGGAGAACGCGCTCCACGGGTCCTCACAGAGAGGACCCGCCCCTTGAGACTTGATGGCAGTGTCCGGAGAGAGCGCTGAGAGGCCGCAAGAGGCTGCACCATGGCTTGGGACCAAAACCAGCTCAGAAACAGCCAGTCTTCCCAGAGCCAAAATAGTGTAGTTTGAAAATGGGACCCTTCCATGATCTAGCCAAGCACGAACACCCATTCTGCAGGGTCTGGGGTGAACTCGGTCTACTTCGGGCAGGCCTTCGATACTGCCTCCTCCGGCGGAGCTTTCCCTGAGGCTTGAGGAGCACCGAGTTCAGGGCGCTCCCTACTGCAGACCTGCAGTGCAGGCCTCCTCTGTGCTGGTTAAATATAAACCCGCAGGCAGTGCCATCAACAGCCCCCGGAGCTGAGATGAGGGTTGACCTCTTCAGAAAGTCACAAGGCCTGCCAGGACATGCAGCTGGACGGAAGAGCAGCACACCCGGCGGTACAGGAGGATTTAGTCTTGAGTCTGCCCTCCTACTTGTCCACTCCTGGCTTGGCTTCCACCCCACTGTTCCAATCGAACTGTCCTCAGCAAACACCCCTATGATGTGTCTTTCTATACGACTTAAACTCAGTGTCTAAAGCAGGGTTTGTTAAGTTACCCCTACCACCTACCCTTATCCCCCGGCTGCTCTTATTCCTCACTATTTCCTGTCTCAGTGGGTGGCTCCATCAGTCCCCAAGTCAGAAAATCAGGAATCGTTCTTGAGTGCTCCCTTGAGAACCCGCCCCACCTCACCATCACCGTGCTCCGGCTGTGTCTTGTTTGACTGGTCTGCAGCATCGAAACTTGCCTCTCTGCCTCCAGGCTCTGCTCCCTGCACCCGGCCTCCCCACCCCCGAGCCTGTTAGCCACACTGTCCTAAGAACGACTGACCGTGTCTTTGTATTCAGCTGTCCGCTGGCTTCTTACTGTCGGCATGTCGGTTCCAGCCTCATATGCTCCCTGCCCACCTGTCCAGGGCCACCTCCCGTCACTGCCTACCCCTCTTAAACTTGACCTTCCTGCAGTGTCTTGAGTTCCTAGAACGCACTGTGGTGTCACCCCTTTCTGCTTTGCCCATGCTGTGAACTCTGCCTGCGATGATTTTCCTGCATAAATCATCTGAATTCTTTAGCCTCCAGACTCAACTCAGATGGAATTCCAGGAAGCCCCATCTAAGCATTGTCTCCATGCTTAGACCACCAGACTGTCAGTGTACCGCTGAATTGCATTATATAGCAGGTTATTTTCTATTTGGCACCATCTCCCGGCTTTGTCCGAGTCTCCTGAGGCCCTAGTGGCAGTGGCTGATGCCCAGGAGGTGCTCTACTGACCGTGTTGTGTTGAATGAAGTGTCCTCAGTTGATTCCATCCCCTTCCGCCTCTTCCCAGTCCACAGCCGTAGCCTCTAATTGGTCCTTCCTGTTGTCTTTCCGCTCCCTTAAGCCATCCTCCACACTGTAATGGAAAAACCGTATCTTGGAAGGTATCTGGTTGATACAGAGGTTTTTGGTTTTTTTGTAGGAATGATAATTTAGAAATCCAGCAAACAGAACCATGTAAATTACACAGCAGTGCCTCACTTGTTATATGGTGCCTTCTAATTTTTAAAGTACTTTTGCATTAGTATTCTCATCTGGTCTCGGAAAATATTCCTCTAAAGTGGGCATGGTTGGCATCCTCAGTCCCCCTGATAGGTAAGGAAATGGCACTTCAGAGAGGTGAGGCCAGGGAAGCAGGTTCTCAGGAGAGGAAAAGGCAGAGTTTGTGTGAGGATGTGGAGCTTTGACACCCACTGCTGTGATTTGACAAGGAAACATCTCAGACATGTCCTGTTCCCCAGAGCCTAGTGGTTTTAGAAAGTAATACTTACATTTTCTTTTTCAGCACTTTTCCACACAACAGTCAAAACATAGGCCTCTCACCCTTTCTGGGGACCCTGAACACTGGAGGGTCACTCCCTGATCTGACCAACCTGCACTACTCAACGCCCCTGCCAGCCACCCTGGACGCCGGTGACCACCTCTTCGGTAGCATGAACACAGGGAACAGTGTGGGCAACCTTCCTGCTGCTATGACTCACCTGGGCATAAGAGGCTCTTCTGGTAAGCATCCCCTACCCGTGTCCACGGGTGGCTTCATCATAGGTGTGGTCCCCAGCCAGGAGGCCTGCGAGTGGATCTGAGTTAGATGTAACAACGTACCTGTTCTTGTAGCTCTTGACCCTGTTGACATTCTGCCCTCATGGCCCAGTTCCTGTTGGATGTGACCAGCTCTGCGGCAGCTCCTCTAAGCCTCCTCCTTTATCACCCTCATCAGCCCAAGGGCACCAAGGACTTGGAGAATAAGACTTGAGAGTCAGGAAGTGAGGGTCCGTTCTGTCCTGCGTTGGCCAAGCAGTGTTAGTGGCTCGCATCAACACAGGATGATACTTAATCGTGAGAGCTGTCTCTCTAGATCCCTCCAATTTCCCACTAGATTTCAAAAGAGGGCATTTTGAATTATAGGAAATTTACAGTGAATACAATGACAATATTTATACTTAAAAAATATGTACATTAAGTAGACATCTACCACAGTTCAAAATTATTTGCTGCACTTTTCAGAAGTGCTGAACAACGTGACATGTAGCTGTATTGAATGCTACCCATCATGTGGCTTGTGTGTTACTGTATAGTGTGAGTGTCTCCAGCCCAGGCCCCAGGTGACTGCATTTGCTTGCACCCTGGCACATGCTCTTGTCAGTGCGTGGGGCAGGCCTCGCCCCTCCCTCTCCCGCCCGGAGGTGCCGTGGCCCTGGCAGTCACGGTCCTGAGCCTGGCACCCTGGTCCTTTGGAAGGGTCCTCGGTGACGTCTGTCTGTGGTTTCCACTCTGGGTTCAACGTGACTTGTCTCCGAAAACCAGAGCTCACCACCCAGATGACAGTGGTCCCTTTCAGGGTGGTCACCCGGAAGGTTCTCTGATGATTTGCAACAGAATTTTAGGTTTAAAGAGTTGATTTCAGTGATCACCTTTATTTTTGGTTCTTTTGGTCATTTTTTATTCTATTGCTTTACGTATGTGACTCCAGTCAATTCTCTGTGAACAGAGACATCCAAGATCCCCTAAGTCCAGCTGCATCAGCATGTAGCTTCCTTGGGTCTTGGGGAAGCCGGCATTCCCCGGGATAGCCTCCAGCTTTTGCTTTAGCTGCAAATCCTGAGTTTAATCGCTGGCTGTCATTTCCTCAAACAAGCATTATTTTTTCCAGAACATGTCAGAACCAGTGTCGAGTTTTTCTGGTTCCTGTGCATGGGACTTAAAATGCATGGTACACAAAGTTGTCTCAGTGAAAGACATTCCTAAGTGCCGGAGTGTTCAGGCAGGGTGCCTGGGCCAGAGGCCTTCCGGGGACACTGGTGCACAGCCCTGGGCCCTCTCCTTAGAAGGGAGCTTAGCGCACTGCACATTCACCTCTGTTACCCCTGCTCACCTGGCCCTGCCCCCCAGCATCCTTCACATGGCACCTCCCTCGAGGAAACAGGCCTCTCGAGGGTACCTTTTTCTCGCCGTTGGTCTATGTGATATATGTTCAGTAGGAGTTTCCCAGGAGCTCCTTCACATACAGAATCCTAATCCATCATAGGAAGTTAAGTTATCTTTAATCTTTGGGAAACAAATGATCTGGTCTGAAATTAGGACTGCTAACTTGTGGATCTGCTGTCTTCCAGGTCTCCAGAGTTCCCGGAGTAACCCTTCCATCCAGGCCACGCTCAATAAGACAGCACTTTCCTCCTCCCTGAACAGCAGCCCGCAGACACCTGCCCCCAGTGCCTCTGCTCTCCACCCTTCACTTCGTCTGTTTTCCCTTAGCAACCCATCTCTTCCCACCGCAAACCTGAGTGGCCCCTCTCGGCGCCGGCAGACGCCCGTCAGCCCTCTCACGCTGTCTCCTGGCCCTGAAGCACATCAGGGTTTCAGCAGACAGCTCTCTTCGACCAGCCCACTGAACCCATATCCTGCCTCGCAGGTAAAAATTACCACCATGGAACAGACTGAAGAATACAGGAATTGCTTTCCTTCTCTGTGATTCTGGGTTCTGTTCATTGTACCAAGCACGTTATCCATGGGGTCACTTACATGTGAAATCAGAGAGCAGGGCAATGTGACTAATTCAGAATGCACCAGTGATGTTTCTAAGAGCAGACTTGTGTTGATTATGCCTAAGCAAACACCGAACAGTTTGCAGTCCCTGTAAATCTCGAAGCTGGGGTTGCGGCTGAGGGTACAGTGTAGAGGACACCATCCAAATACGTCCACCTTAGCTATGGGAAACCAGGCCGGGACTTTAAAATTGGGATGGAAAATCAAGAACTGACCCTGTAAGTAATTTAAACCACAAGGAAAAGCCACAGCAGACATTCAGTATCTTCCTAAAGCTTTGATATGAGACCACTTCCCTAACTACAACTACAGATTTGAGAAACAGTGCTTTTATTGTTCATGAAATAGTAGGTGTCATAAGGATCGTGTCTCTGTGAAAGAACTGAAAAAGTCCGTTTAGAAAGAGGCTGAAGTCTCAGTCCTGACACAGAAATTCAGGGGTTGAAGCACCATATTTTGACTTGCTGACTTTGTTTTTATTCTAAGCTCTTAGGGTGGTTCTCCTTACCAAAGTCATCAATGAATATATTTTTAATCCGTTGGTCACTCCCTGGCTACATTATAACATCATTTACTAACCACTTCTCCATACTTGAGTAACGACTTAGCAAGGAGGAGTGGACAGAACACAATGGAGGGATTGGCAGATCCAGTTATTAGTCATTCTTTACCGATTACTAGCTACAGGGTCTTGATTTTATGAGTAATCCTTTTTGGGAGAGGATAAGAGAGTATTTCATAATTGTTTTTTTAGTGGTCATTTTTATGATACTAATTTTATTTTGCAAAATTATTTGAGCCTTGGCCAGTGTGGCTCAGTATGTTGGAGTATCATCCCATAGACTGAAAGGTTGTAGGTTTGATTCCTCATCAGTGCACATACCCAGGTTGCGGGTTCGATCCCTGGTCAGGGCAAATTTGAGAAGGCAACCAATTGATGATGCTCTCTCACGTTGATGTTTTTCTCTCTCTCTCCTCCCACCTTCCTCTCTCTCTAAATGCAGTGAAAAAATGTCCTTGAGTGAGGATAAAAAAAATTATTTGATAGGCTTTAAAAAATATTACTTGGGCTTCCTAAATACATTTTAAGGAGCCTATGGGTAGAGAACATCCTCTTTCAGGTGTTTCCATTTTTTTTATTTGCTTTATATTTAGATTTTTTTAAAAATCCGTGTTCATGCTAATAGTGTAAAAAGTCAAATAGTTCTAAAGGACTTGTTCTGAAGTTAGAGTTGTTTCCCCTCCCTGTCATACTTGTCACTCCCTGGAGATGACTGCTTTCAACCAGTGTAGCCCATCACTTTGGTGTAATCATGCTATTTTCATGCGTATGTTGTTCTACATTTTCAGTGTTCGGTATTTTCTAATGACATCCTACCTGGAAGATTAATGTTTTGTCTCTTTCAGCTCTCCCAGTTCTCCCACACACATACATATTTCCTCCTCCTCTTCCTCCTCCTCCTCATTCTTCACAATGTGGTTTATTATGATTTTGTTTAGAACAGTACTCAGTGTTTAATGTTTTCATAGTAAGAATAATGTGGTCAGAGTTTAACCATGTAGTATACTATGAAATAACAAAAAGAACATTTTTTTCCTCCTGGGAGTTAATAAATGTCTTATTTTGTTAGTCTGGTGTTCTATGTCTTTGAATTCAACCCCATACTCTCAGAATTGAATAGATCTTCTCTCAGTACAGCGAACATGGCATGATTCAAATGTGTCTATTCTACCCAGCATTTCATTAATAATTGGCTGAATGTAGAATACAAAATTCAAAACAATTTTCTCTTAAAGTGTTGACATTATTAACCCATTGCCCTTTTAGTTTCTAGAGCTGCTATTGAGAAATCCAATTTCACTCTGATTCTTAATGCTTCCAATGAAATCTTTTATTTCCTCCCCCATTCTAGAGGTTTATAGGATCTTCTTTCTGTCCCCAGTTTTCTGAAATTTCAGGATAATGTAGCTAGACATGAGTCTGGATATTTGGTGGCTTTCTTCAATCTGGAAACTCATATCCTTCATTTCTGGGAAATTTTCTTTAATTATTTCTTCGATGCTTTCTTTCCCTGAGCACGAGCTGGGAAAGAAAGGCAGAAGGCTCGGGTTCAGCGGTGAGCTCTCTCATGAAGTGTATTTTCAGTGGGGCGCCTCGCCGGCTGGGGCCGGGCGTGCCCTGTCCCATGACCTTCTGCTGCCCTCCCTCCAGTGCAGATCCCTCCAGTCTCCCGCAGGCCAGCGCTCAGAAGCCTAAGTGCTTCTCACCTAAACTTTGACAAGACCCTCCCGGTTTCAGCTCTGCCTTCACCCCCGGCTGCCGTGGCCCCGCCACCCTCAGGACCCTGTTTGGGAATCAGCTTGGGTCGTGGTTTCCCGCTGCCAGCTTAGCACCTGGCCGCCTCCGCTCGGCCACGCCGGTCACTTCTTGTCTGCCTGCTTTTCGTTTTCCAGATTTTGTTGCCATTTTCTTCTCTCCTGTTACTTTTGCCCTTCTGTTGTTTATTATTGTTTTATTGTTATTATTGTTTTAGTGTCTTTTATGAATGTTTACTGTTGTTTAATACTGTTTTAGTGTTTTTAGTAGAATTTTGGGAGACAGTGGAGCTAAAAGTTTTTTTCAATCTTCCGTCTTTAACCAGAAATTATGTCTTTAAAAAACAAAACAAAACATGGTTTTTACTTAGAAACCTGAGAGGAAACTGCTCAATTGGCTGAGTTTTTTTGTTTTGTCTTGTTTTTAGGACAATAGAAATTGTCATGGAATGGGAAATGCTTGGGGGGAGGTGAGATTTGAGATGTGCTTTGAAGAAGCAGAAATAGGCTTCACAGGGCACAGCATAGAACGCCTTGGTGAAGACCATCTCCTAATCTTAAAGGGCCCACGACCAGAAACTCAGGAGCTAAGCTAATTAGTGACTCTGTTTTCCAGATGGCATCCTCTGATCGAAGCCCACTTTCCTACCTGCCGGCAGAAGCTCAGACTCCACTGTCCCCACCTCCTCCTTACCCCACACCCCAGGAGCTCCCCCAGCCTCTCCTGCAGCAGCAGCACCGCGCCCAGGAGGCCCCCGCTCAGCAGCCACAGGCAGCCCCGTCGCTGCCACAGCCAGACTTCCAGCTCCTGGCGGACCAGGTGGGTCCCAGCAGGAGCGCCGCTGTGGGGGGAGCACTCACGGTTGCCTTGAGTGCCAGACTAAACGATCCCCTCCTTGTTCCCTGAAGGGCTCCTCTATGACCAACTTCTTCCCAGATGTGAGCTTTGACCAGCAGTCCTTGAGGCCAGGCCCAGCCTTTACTCAGCAGGTGAGTGAGTGACCGCCCCGGGGCCCACCGCTCTTGGAGCAGGAGCTGGCCAGCACGTGGGGCCCACAGCAGGCAGGCCAGGCCCTGTCCTGCCCTGGTTTCAGATGTGCCTGGCGGCTAGGAGAGTGTGGGATCTGCCTAGCCCTAATGTCCTGCGCTGGCTGCCTTAGTTAGTGTCCGCCTCGCCACAGGGCCTGTTTGAACAAGGGGCGGAAGCCTCCTGAGGGGCCCTCTGGTCGCGGAGCTGTAGAACCGCTCACCCTGGCAGGGCTGGGGCCGTCCACTCAGCTGCCTCGCGGGGAGGCTGAGGCTCGGGCAGGGCTGAGCCCGCAGGCCCGGCAGCTGGCCCCGCACGGAGCGGCCGCCCAGGAGGGCTTGGGCCCAGTGGGGGCAGGGGCCCTTCCCTGAGATATTTTCACTCAGCCATTTCCTTTTGCTTTTTAAGTTTTCCATAACACGGACCATTTTTAATATCCCCAGATTTTAGAGCGTTTAATAAGTATGGACTGGGTTCCAGGATGGATTAAAGACAGAAAGAGCCCTTTCCAGAACTTAGTAATAATAACAAAGAAATAAATAAAGACCTATTTCCTGAGGAGGCTGTGGGGGAGCCTCAGGGTAAGAGCCAGTAGTCCTGCCTCCCTGGTGTCTGGAGAAGCCATTTTAGTCTCAGTGAGTCAGTGTCTCCCAGAAAAATGATGGAAACTCCTACCATTGAGAGATTTTTAAAAACAGTTTGGAACATTAATTTCTGGAAAGGCACCTAAGGAAGGCATCAGCTCTCACCAGCCTTCATGGAGGCTGTCTCATAGACTGGGAGGGGCTTGCCTGAGGCCCCTCCCTCTGAGTGTGAAAAAACAGGGCTTTACTTTCTCATTTGTCTGGAAACCAAAAAAAAGCGCCTGCTGGCTGCATCGCTTCTTTGGTCTTCTTTGGGGAGCCATGATGGGGTTCCCCCAGGGGGCAGTTTCCACAAGCCTCAGTGCGACTGAGGAGCAGCGGGTCTGAGACCCGAGAGGCACAGAAGCCACAGCTGTTGGTGTCCCCTTGGGTAGCTTCGTGGGCCGGGCAGTGTGTGAATAGGGCCCCGTTCCACATGTGCATCTGCCTGCCCAAGAAGCATTTTCTGCGCAGGAGGTTCCCACGACCGCACAGCACTCTGGGATCCTGCAGGAAGGGACTGGAAGACCGTTTTCAGCCTTGGCTTGCTTTGGGAGCCCCTTGTTCCCCCCTCTGAAGAAGAGAATGTTCCTTACAATGTAACCCTCGGTGCTTCCAGGTGCCTCTGGTGCAGCAAGGTCCCCAAGAACCACAGGATTCATTTAATTTGAGACCAAACCTGTATTCCAACTGTGGGAATTTCGCAAGCAATGTCTTGACAGGTAAGTGTGAACCAGCCCTCACCCTCTTCGCTGTAGTTATTTTGCTGTGTTTTTACAGATTCCATTGTAAGATAGTTTAAACAACAATGTCAGATCAGGCAAAAAATGGAAGTTCCGCAGCTCGGCTTTACGTTTTTGAGGTGCAGGTGTCTAGCCCAGAGATTTTGAGGCGGTGAGCATTTTCTGAAAGACTTAGTTTTAAGTCATTGGCAACTGTTCAAATGGAGAAAGCCTGCAAAAAGTGGGAGTGTGGACCTGACTGGAAGGAATGAAGATTCCAGAGCAGAACTGTAGGCCTGGAAGTGATTGGGACACAGCGATCACTGTCCTGGTTGGGAGGATGACAGGGCCAGTGTGTTGGGGATGTCACCGGTTGCGTTGTAGCCTGGGGTCCTCACGCCTCCTGATCTGCCCTGTTGTTCCCTCTTGCTGTTTCTTACAGAAGATTCCAATTCCAGCCTATTCAAAGACCTCAGCAGTGCGCTGGCGGTCATGCCTGAGGTCAACCTGAACATGGACACTCCATTTCCATTGGAAGAAGAGCTCCAGATTGAACCCCTGAGCCTGGACGGACTCAACATGCTAAGTGACTCCAGCATGGGCCTGCTTGACCCCTCTGTTGAAGAGACGTTTCGAGCTGATCGACTGTGAACGGCATGGAACAGAATAATAGGACTTACGCCTAAAATAGCTAAAATAGAACGGAATACAATGGAGCCGCTACACCCCTGGGCTTTAGTTATCTTGGGCTTCTGACACGGGAAGAACCAATTCTACGGCTCCGGGCTTTCCGTCGAGGTCCATTCTCATTAACTGTGGCTTGTTGTAGACCACAGAACTATGCACTGCCTAGGCCTGCAGGTTTTGTGGCTGCAGGCAGGCTGGTTCTGAGCTTCCAAAGAGGTGGTCCTCACCAGAACCATCACATCCTTTTGTCTTCTGTCCAGTCGGTCAGTGTGTAAACATAGCCAATACCATGGGACGGAGGGCCCAGTAGCCCTTTGTGGTGCTCGGAACCACTGACCTCAGTCAACACTGAAGAAAGGACCTGGCTAGTGTGGGCGGCACTTAGGGCCACAGGCCTGCAGGGGTGGCTCAGTGCTGAGCAGCGGTACCGCCGCACCACATGCCTTCTCTGATCTAGCTGTCGCGCCTGGGCCCCTGCCAGCTGGTGGCAGGGGTCTTCCGGGCAGCACAGGCAGCCACTGTGCCCTCACCCTCAGATGCCTTAATTCTAATATGAAGAAGAATATGCACCATGAGTCCAAGAACAGACTTGAGTTAAGCAAGCTGAGCGGTAATTTGTTTTCTTCCCAGTTATAATCTCTTCTGCTGCTCCAGTTCGCCTTTTCCTATGGACAGGAGGAAAAGGAAGACTCTTTTACTCAGTCACTGAAAAAAGTCCCCTGCTAATGGATGAGCCTGAAGAGAAAGACCAGTGCTTCTTGGTGGCTGTGGAAGAAAGAAGGGGCCTGACTGCATCCCGCACACACGCAGCGTTCTTTGGACCCGCGCTGGGCCGCTGCGGACATGCGCAGGCCTCCCTCTGGACGTGCCACCGGGAGGGAGCGGCTGGAGGCCGGAATCAGACTCAGCCATCAGCTGAGCGGAGCTCTTTCTCTGTGGAACGGGAGTGTTAATGTAACTCCCCTGGACCCTAAGCTCCTTGAGGGCAGGCAGGGACTGTGCCTTATTCATCATGGAACCCCTCGTACCAACAAGTGCCTGGCACTGAACGGGTGCTCTGTCACTGCATGTTGAATGCATGAACGGGCGTACGCACGGACGAACCTGTGAGAGAATGCATGGATGGATGCGTGAATGAATCAAGCTGCCTGCTCTGAGGCAGTCTAATCTTTAGCTCTTCTCTTCCTTGCCAAATTTTCTCAGAGCTGTAGCTTTTCTGACACTTGTGCCTGTGGTTAAGTCAAGCATGCACTTTAATATGCTTTTAACACTAGGTGACCAAACCCACCGTTAGACTGGGCACCTACCTGTCCTTGAAGCTGTGCTCCGCAGCAGGTGGGTGCGAGCCGTCTCCTGAGGGTGCTCAGAGTGGCCGAGCCAGCAGAGGCCTCCCAGGGGCCTCAGGGGTCCTGGCAGGCCCCACCTCAAAGTTCTTCCCTCCCAGATCCATATTTTGCTCTAAATTGCTTTAAAATAGACATTCATTCTTTGAAGTTGAAGAAATTCCGTAGTAAAATGAAGGCCTGATTCAGGAAATTATCACTAGTTATTAATACCTTAGCATAAAATAGTATTGCCATATTTCCACCACTGCCTGCCCCCTCTAACTTAGGCTAGGCCAGCCCTGACCAGGAGCCTGGCAGGGGGATTAGAAGGGGGGGCAAGGGGGCGGGGCCTGCCGAGCACCCCTGCAGAGGGGTCTGGGCAGAATTCGGGCATGGGATACAAGGTGGGGAGGACGGCCACTGAAGGAGAGGCTCGCCGGAGCCTTTGCCTAGCCAGCCACTGCCCTGCCAGGGGATACCAGGGGTGTCCCTCCCTGAGGGTCACTAGGCTACTCCCAGCCCAAAGCAGCAGCACTGACCATTGACGCCTGAACCTGACCATTGTGTGCCTTATGGCAGGAGGAGTCTGTCATGGGGTCCCGGGCTGTTAACCTCTCCAGACCTGGTCCCGCTCCTCTTCCATCTTCAGGGGGATGGCCTGCCCTCCTTCCTTTCCAACAGCCGGGCTGGTGGGCCGCTCCGTCCTTCGTCCTTCACTGTGGAGCCCGAGTCTTCCCACTTCACGTCAGCCCCAACCCCCACTGTTGAATTAGGAAAGCAAACCAGAGTCCTTGCTGAGTGCTGGCTCAGGAAGGGGCCGCTGCCCCTGCCCTCAGCTTTTTTCCCAGTTGAACTTTTAGATCCCTTTATACTAAAGACCTCAGAGAGGAGTGGGGAGTGACTCTGTCACCTTCTAACGGTACGCAGCGCCCCAGTGTGCCAAAGGCTGCCAGCTCCTTGCCGCCTTTCCTTTGTCCAAGGCCCGCAGCATCAGGTGTGGCCTTTCAGACAGGGAGTGGTGCTGATGTTATAAGAGGTTTTTATGAAGAGTGGAGGTCCCAGCATCATTCACTCTGCATGGCGCCTTACACACGGGTCATCGGTGGTCAGTGCGGGCGTCCCAGCCTGCTCTGTCTGCAGGGCAGCCCCGGCCGACAGCTGCAGGCGCCAGACCTCCCCCGTGACCTGTGCTGCCCCCGGGCTTTCTCCAGGCAACTCCTGGCCTGGAGCCTCCCCAGAGCAGAGACTTGTTTGGCATGACGATGAGGTTTAGCACTGAATTAAATTTATCCTTAGGTCCACCAGTCCACTCTTTTCCTGTGAAAAGGGCTTGGGCATCACACAGCCCAGGTTGCTTAGCTGGTGTCCAGGACAGGTCACTGTTCTGACTGTCAGCGGGTAAGTCTGTGCTCACTGGTGCCCTTAACACAAAGCGGGCATGACCCTCACACCTGCAGTGGCTGCGTACTAAATATTTTCCAATATTTAGTGTTGTTGGAAGAAATCGACGGCTGTACTACTCATTTACTATCAGTTAAACAGCATTGAAGTAAAGCCTATCTGTGTTTCCATTTTTTTCTTTCTGTAACGGTTGTGGTTTTTAGAACTTAAGGTGTTAGGAGAAAATTTTCTTGATCGTGTCAAGATGAGCATAAATTCTCCTTTGTCCTGTTTCATTTCTTCTAAGTCTACTGTACATTACCTGAGCTGAACTGTTGTGTATTCCAGTCCAATTGCATATCTGAAGACATTTCCAGTTCTGACTTCTCCCCGGCCCTTGGGATTTATGCACAGATGGTCCTGAGCGTGTTTGCATTACTCGCAGTGGAACCATCACAGCAACTAATCAGCCAGTGTCCTAATTCCCAGGCCCCTTGTTAAACAATATTTAAAGATTGGAATTTGTATAAAGTAGCTTCCAAGTTTTATAATGCATTATTTTACATCTTTCATAATTAAAAGCACAATGAGGTTGTATCTGCATTTGGTGTTTTTCTTCAGCCTCGCCTCGATGGGATGCATTGGGGGAAGCCTCTCTCTCCCACCACCGCCCGTGCAGCTCGGCCCGCAGTTAGGCCTTCCCGGCCCTCGGCTTGGCAGGCCCTGCCCTGACCCGCTTACCATGCGTCCTCTCCAGGGAGAAGCCCAGAAAGGAGTAGGGCACGTGGTTGCTTTGAAGCTGTGAGTACCAAGGACAGGGGGCGTCTGGCAGTGCCTCAGTGCCCTGCTCCCCCCAGCCGCGCCCCTGCAGACCCTGCTCCTGCCCTTCTCTGACGCCCCTCCCCTGTGGAGGTTCAGGGTCAGGCGGCAGACAGACGCTCCTCCCGCCAGTGCTCCAGGGCCTGGGCCTGCCTGTAGCCCCCTGTCCCTCCCCTGCCCCAAGTCCCAGCAGGGCTCACAGGCCTGGCCCATCCAGCAGCCAACACCCTCAGAGACCCACCTTCTCAGCCACACCCAGTTTGTCATAAAGGTGACTCTTCTAAATCTTACTCAAAAATCCCATCTCTGACCCGAAGTTCCTGAGCCATTGTTTCCACTTTGGTCCATACATACCTTGTCCTTTGACCCAACCGAGAATTCTGTCCCTGTCCCTTCTCCTAGCCTGCCCGCCCTCTCCTGGCTTCCCTCTCTTCCCAGGCCTAGTTCCCTGGGTCAGTGGCCTCTATGACCCCCTCATCAGCCCTCCCCCTGCCCTGGCCCTCGGGGTTCCCTGCTGGGGGTCCCTCTCAGCTCCCCCAACTCGCGTGCTCTCCGCCTCCCCTGAGGGCCCTTACTTCCCACAGTCAGAAACCCCAGGCCCGGGGCATAGGGCACGGCTCCCTCAGGGTCGACCATGATCAGTGTTAGTTGTCACTTGAATACGCTTGAGTACGGTTTTTCAAAGATAGGATGCACAACCCTGTAGAAATACTACATTTGTATACTGCGGGCTTTGAAGTACCAAGTCTTCGTAAGGGAGTAAGGTTTTACATTGACCTTATTTAGGTCCTGTTTGCTTAGTGAGCACTGTACCTTTTGCAGGTATGGAATTTAGAGTTTTGCAGTAAGCCAGCTATACAGAGTGGGGCAAACGTAGGTCTACAGTTGTGAGTACACAAAACACAGTTTATTCTTGTACTGTTATTTATTAATTATTGTATTATTTTCCATATGAGCAACTGTAAACCTACTTTTGCCACACCCTATATGTGACTGTGTCCCGATGTGGACACTAGATGGAGCTGAGACCACAAGAGTGGCTGTTAGGGCTCAAAATAACCAGATAGAGCTACCTGACCCTCTGGAATTTAGCCTTTGGATGGGGTTGGCCCTGGTGTCGGCTAGACTTGCACCCTGTGATGGCACGATGTGAAGGAGCCTCCCTAGTCCCCAGCCCACTGAGGACGATGAGACACCCCATCATCACACGCCCCTCTCTGCGACCTGGGAGGCAGGCAGGGCCAGGCTGACTTCTTGGGCTCACAGAGGAGGAGCAGGCCCAGAGTGGCTCTGTCCCCGGGGTTGAACCCATGGGGCACAGCGCGCCCTGCCCACGGCAAGCGGCAGGCAGCGAGCCGCCCCTGGACCTGCCCCAGGAGCAGGGTGCCGCGCTGAGAGGTGCTGGCTAAGGGGCAAAGGCATTCCCCTCCCAGAAAATGTTTTTAAAGGGTTTGCTTTTATAATAGCAGAGCGTGCTCCTCGTGAGAAATTCATGGAACACTGAAGAGTACAAAAGTAATGGAAGTACCTCTTTCCTCATGTACGCAGGGAAAAGGGCAGGTAGATGGATGGAAATTTTTACAAAAAAAAAAAAAAGACAAATACATGCTCCTTTTCAAAAAGTACTTAAATTTAACAGAACAAAAAAAGAAGCCGAAATGTACCTAGAAATTGCCAAGCTGCAAATAATTGTGCTTCTAAATTATTTCTCTGAAAGGAAAGAAAAATCCCAAGAAGCTGGATTCATTCTTTAAACCTGCTTCAACTGTAGATGGCATCTCTAGACAGCCTGCGAGTTAGGATGAGGAAATGAGCTCACCCACTTCCCATCTCCTGCCCCACTCCCAGCGCTGTGAGTTCTCGTTTATACATTGTCAACGTCCGTGCTGTTTGCATCCTGTCCTGCAGCCATCCTTCCCGCCATTGTTCGCCCCGGTTCCTTGTGTGTGTGGATCCCCTGCTCGGTGCCAGTCCTCTCAGAATGGGTTTCCCAGCGCTCTGTCCCCGAGTCCTTTATTTTGACTCACCCCCTGGCCGCCTTGACTTCGTCTTCAGGGAGTCCCAGCAAGAAGGGCTGGGCTGGTCTCAGTTACAGGGGTGCGGTTCCTGAGTGGCCCGGTTGGAGACCCGAACCCCGAAGTGGGGGGGGGGGGGCGGGCTAGAGGCTGGCACAAATCCTCAGTGTCGGGACAAGATGACTCCTCGCTGAAAACTGGGTCTTAAACCTGTGTTTGGTGACCCAGAGTTGAAGTTTTAGAATTTGGAAATACAGAAAACGACTAGGGTGCGGGACTCGGAGAGTCCTGTGTTCAAAGAAAGGGCATACCATGTCTCTGGCTTGGGGGACCGCTATGGCTGGCCCCCCACCGCTACCCTAACAACCCCACCCCCATTTCATCCCTTCAAGGGCAGGGCCCTATCCCATGTCCATTTGGAAAAACCTGACTTCTCCTTCAAGGACTGGGTCCAGTGACACCGCTTCTGTGAAGCTGGGATTATTGTTTGACAAGTGTTGATATTCCTTCCTCCCCACCGCCCCGCCCACGGTGCACGCACGTTGCCTCCAGGACCCTTTGCCCTTGGGCTGTGCTCCGTGACTTGCTTTGGCCGGTGAGGTGTCTCAGATAAGACCTGGAGCAAAGCCCAAACTTGCCCTTCATGGCAGAGCCGGTCCCCTTGGGCTTCCACCCTTGCCACAGGCACAGTGTCCCCACTGCACAGCCTCTGGTTCCAGAGGCATGAGGGACCAGGCGCACTTCACACCCAAGCCCCCCGGCCATCAAGCAGGCCTAGCTTAAGTTGCCTGGCAGTGAATCAGCAAACACAGGAGCTGGAAATAAATGCTCGTAACAGTGAGCCATGAACTGCGGGGGCCATTTGTTATGTAGCATTGTTGTGGCAATAATTGAGTGATAACCGCTGTTTCCTTTTTGGTGTTTGAGTTGCACTTTGTTCCCATAGCTTTCTTAACTATAAGGCTCATGTTGTTGTAGAGTCTGCCTCCCCCCAGGCCAGTGAGCAATGTGAGGCAAAGACTGTCTGATGCAATTCTGACTCCCCAGTGCCCAACAG